TTTGGCTCAATTTATATTAGAAGATATTCGATTGTAAATGTATTTATTATCAATATTAAAAATTGATCGTTGTCTAACTCATATGGATATCGTGTGCAAGCTATTTTTAAATTAAAAATTTTCTAAATATATGTAGTATACTCAATGATTAATACTTGTGCACAGTGGTTCAACCACTTATACAGATATTGGGTACATATTAAATAAAATACTTATTTTCTTTTATTTACAGATATTTTATTAAGATAAATTAATTGTGTTCAAATAATTAATTACATGTATTTATTACTGAACATTTAAAAATTCCAGGACTTAAGTTTTTATAAATATTGGAAACATTAAATGTTATATTACATTTTTGAAACAACAAAAATACAGCATCAAACTGGTTTACAATTTTTCTATACAGTTTCGTAGAGTATCATTGGTTATATAAACGAGATTTATCTGAAAACTATATTTATAACAAAATTAATCCGATTTTTGCATAAGAATGCTTCCGATCGTAACAGTATATAATTGAATTTTGTTTCGGAGTCAACCAGTCTGTCGTATAACAGCAATAAGGACTGTTCCTTCAAGAAACTGTTAAATTGGTTTACGCAGTGAATTCACGTCCAGCGCCATCAACGCGTGATAAGATGAATCGCGAGAAGCGCTTGCGAGTTGCGAGAACTGTAGACTGTAGCACACATTTACGTGTGGAAATTTAATTAACACTCCTGTGTCTCTTTGGGGTTGCACCATAGATTACAAGCAGTTTTTTCGAGTCGGCTGGGAAGCCGATTATCATAAGACAGTGACGAACTGCGAAAATAGGATTAAAAATCGATTTGGAGGTTTCTAGAAGAAAAGGCCATCAGAGAGGCGGACGATCTGCCAGACTTTGCGGGGTGACGCGGGGAAATTTTCAGATAATCGTACGTATTTTACGGCTACACGTATACCAATCTTATTTTCGACGTTCTTATACAACTGGGATCGCCTGAACAATTTAGTTTTACGTGATACGTGACTTCATGCACGAATTCATTGTTTACGCATATGTATGTAGAAGTCGTCAAGCAGCTTTGGAGGTTGGCAGAGATATCGAAGGAGAAATACTGAATATTATACTTCCATCATTTTTCTATTCGATCTGTTCGATGTCGTTTCGTTCGTTACAATAATTCTTGGTAAATTTATCATTTGAAAAATTCGTTTTCTGGTGTATAGCATACGAATTTCTTATTTCAGTAGAGCTTTACAGTAGCGTGACAAACTGTCAATTAACGGTGCTTACATTGCCGGTCCTGTTAAAGACTTGTAGTATGAAAGTTTCGAAAATTTCATAGTGTATACTATGTTTATAAAAATAAAGTAAACCATTTTCTGATAACCTACATATACTTTTGTTGGTCATTTATTAACTTGTGCCTGTATCTATGTGTTTTGTATCATGCCACAAATTACTAAAAGTATCAGGATATTCATATACAGTTGCTGTGAAAAGTATTTCAGTGACGAGTTTAAGATAATACCTTGTGTGCATATGTACATATATGTGTATGCATGTATGTGTATATGTACATACATGTATCAGTAATAAATTCTATTGCTTGTAGAATAGATTTAGCGTAAACAAAATTTGATTCCAGTCAATGTTTTGAAAAATAAATATTAACAATACAAATGCACAGATAGTAGTCGTACAGTCTGATAAAAAATGGAAAGCTATGAGAATGAAAAATGAGAAAACTAGGATTATCTTTTGATTTTATAATAACTTCAAGCCTTGTTGGTTAATGTTTGGTGATTGTAGCAGCGTCTTCAAGTATCTTGGTATGTTATATAAAAGTCACAGGAAAATAACTCGTATTTTATTTACACTAGAATAAAGATGGTTTTTAAAAAAAAAACCAATTTCATCTGAACTCGTGCAACTCCCCAAAATTTATTATTGATGTTAATATATATAGTTTTATTCTAAATTGGTCATTGTATAAATATATACTTTCCACACTAACTGTAAAAATATCAAAATATTAGTATAATTTTTTATATAAAGTAATTAAATAATTTATATAAAGTAATTAATTTGATATAAATAATCTAGACTGTTATGTTATTACTTTGTGATATGCATATGATATATGTTTTTGGTACACAAGTGTATAGCACATTCTTTCAGATATCATAGTAATATAAATTTGTAGTATATCCTATTTTAAAAGAGAAACAAACATAATTCATAAACATAAGCTTTATTTTAGTTTGTATTCATTAGTTAAAAAGGAAATTAGAGGAAGCGGAGAAACTTTTTTTTAAGGGTACTCCATCAAACATGGCTGCTCTACCACGGAGGATTATCAAAGAAACACAGAGATTAATGCAAGAACCAGTTCCTGGTATCAGTGCTGTTCCAGATGATACAAATGCTAGGTATTTTCATGTAATAGTAACTGGACCTGAAGATTCGCCATTCGAAGGTGGACTTTTTAAACTTGAGTTGTTCCTACCAGAAGACTATCCAATGTCTGCACCGAAAGTTAGATTTATCACAAAAATTTATCATCCAAATATAGACAGGTATTTAATTATATTCACTTTATATTGCTTGATTTCTATTGCAAAGAAAATGTGTTTTTTGTATGTACTATTGCTTCATTTAGAAAATATCTATGAAATTAAGGGTTAACTCAGTGTGTTCTAACATACTATTTTAAAAACCAACACTAAAATGTGTATTTTCTTGTTAAAAATGTTTGTATTTATTACATAGATTGGGCAGGATTTGTTTGGATATTCTTAAAGAGAAATGGAGTCCTGCTCTTCAAATTAGAACAGTTCTACTATCAATACAAGCACTTTTAAGCGCGCCAAACCCAGATGATCCTTTGGCAAATGATGTTGCTGAACTCTGGAAAGTAAATGAAATTGAAGCAATACGTAATGCCAAAGAGTGGACTCGGAGATATGCTATGGACAACTGATCTCAGATCATCCATGATGCAAAGTGACATTACCCCTATCTTTCCGAGTTTACTGATCACATTACCCGCACCAGCTGCGTACCCTGCACCTATGTCCACAATTTTGCTATAAAAATAATAAAAGTTTTGTAAGAGTAAACAGAATGAAACTGTATTTTCTATATTGCGGGGAATACAAAGATGTTGTTTAGATTTCTTCACTGGTTCATCAGACAGATTTGTACAGAATCTTCTAACAATAAAATACATCAATTGTGAGAAGATTTCTACTTCTGCAAAAAGGTATAATTTTAATGGATAATTAGTTCTTACTCAAAATTATTCGTTTATACTAAAAGTAAGTAAATGTAGGATCTTGAGTGACCCACCTTTATCATTTTCAATTATAAAATGGCTTGTGCAGTCAGTAATTTATAAACCTGATTTTGGTACCTCTAATGTACCCTTCGAGCAAAACAAGAGTACTAGGTCCATAATTGGGTTATACAGATATTAAATTTTCTGTATGTGATTATGTCTACTAACTAATTGTCTGATAATCTTGACTTATTTATCGTTGTCGTGATTAAACAGTATCACATAAAACATACTACAATAATTGAATTAGATTATGAACGTAATGTTTATTTATAATTATACATTTTAAATGTCATGTGATCAAACATATTCAAATATGTTGAATGTGTGAAGTTTCATTCTCAAAATGTATAGCTCTTTTAATAACATTTACATATTGAAGTACTTTATTTATTAGCATACTACAAGATAAAATTGGTCCCATGTTTCCAGTAACAATTAATTATCTTGATGATAATGAGATAATTTTTCCCACATTATGTTAATTAACATTTTATTGTATAAATATAAACTATTAAGCGAGAATCTGCATCTTTTATTTACATTTTTTTTAAATAAATCAAAATTAATATAGATACCAAAAAGTGTGCCGAAAACATAGATAATTGTTTCCGAAGAACAATTTTCTTAGTATTTGTATTATATATATATATATATATGAATATATAGTTTACAGCAGTGATGAGCAACCTTTTACCTGCAGTGGGCCACAATTGACCGATCGCCAATTGTTTTAGAACGGGAGCGTCGCATTGGTGGGCCGCTGGTAAACAGTGGATGGGCCACATGCGGCCCGCAGACCATGGGTTGCTCATCACTGGTTTACAGCATTCCCAAACATGTACTTATATGGCTTTAAAACAGGAAGGTAAACAAGGAAAGGATATATTATGTATTTTAAAATATCATATAATTCATAAAAGTATTGCTTGCTGAATTCAAATATTTTTTGTCACTGCTAATTTACTCATACTTGAAAAGAAGAATTAATGGATAAGATGATATAAAATAGACAATACATTCAAAACTCACTTGTACTAGACGTGCTACAGATATTTAATTCGATTATACATAAGTAATTTTCTGTACAATTTGTTTATTTTTTTGGAGAATG